TTTGTTTGTTTGTTTGTTTGTTTGTTTGAGAGAGGGTCTCACTGTGTAGCTCTGACTGGCCTGGGACTTGCAGTGTAGACCAGGCTAGCCTGGAACTCACAGAGATCTGCCTGCCTCTGCCTCCCAAGTGCTGGGAATACAGGTGTGCGCCACCACGCCCAGCTAGTAAAGCATATTTTTAACATGCACAAAACCCTGAGTTCAATCCACAGCACCAAAATAAATAAATAAATGAATAAACAAATAGCTAACATGTATCTTTAGTCTGTTAAGATTATATAACCTTAGGTATGTTGGCCAATTTTTTGTTCTGTAATTTTTGATTTTTCATATTTTGGGTAGCCCTCCTGGATATCCTTTAGTGATGAGATTTCCTTTTAAAATTCTGTAACCACAACTTAATAGAAAAATTTCTAGTTCCATCCATTTACCTGCAAATTTCATGATTTCATCTTTCTTTACTGCTGAGTAAAATTCCATCATATAAATGAACCACATTTTCATTATCCACTCGTCAATTGAGGGACACTAAGTTTACTTCCATCTTTTAGCTATTGTGAAAAGATCAGCAACAAACATGGGTGTACAAGTGTCTCTGCAATAGGATGAGTTCTTTGGGTATATGCCAAGGAGTGGTATAACTGGGTCAAATGGTAGGTTCATTTGTAGTTTTTTAAGAGTTCTCCACATTGCTTTCCATAAGGGTTGAAGTAGTTTGCAGCCCCACCAGCAGTGGATGAGTGTTCCCCTTTCTCCATATCCTCTCCAACATTTGGTATCATTTGTTCTCTTGATCTTAGCCAGTCTGACTGGGGTGAGCTGAAATCTTAAAGTGGTTTTAATTTGCATTTCCATAATTATTAGTGACATTAGAAACATCTTTTAAGATGTTTCATAGCCATCTTTACTTCTTATTTGGAGAATTTCTTGTGATGATGTGAGATAATGCAATACCCTGAGCCGTAGTAAATGACATAGGCATTGTGACAGCATCTGGTACCATGTAAGGGTTACTTGAGCACAAGCTCTAGAATATCCTCAGAGTCCATGTGATAACTAAGATGGCTAAAATTACTAATGGCCAGGTAACATACACAACATGCATACAGTAGATAAAGTGATGATTC